TTCCACACAGAAAGGCTGCCGTTACAGACCTGTGTTGTCAATACTAGCCAGATGACTCGTCTATTCTTAAGATATTAAGAGGTGATCTTCAATGAAAAGAGCATCCTTAACATAATAGACAGGTTCGTAAGGCTTTGGTGGCTACAATAAGCATAGGCCAAGTAAACCGCTTAGTACCGCCTTTGCTATGTTCAGTAGTGCGGTACTGGCTATTATTCGTGAGCAGCCACAGAAATTCAAAGCAGCTGATGTAAATGGACCGAGCTAAGCCTACCTATCTTTAACAGGAATAAAAATTACACATTTTGCTTCTACGACAATTTCAGTTAAGGCCATTAAAGAACTTTTCGAAGAGACTAGGATGTGAGGACTTTGTTGAGACTTATAAGATAAAGACTGCTGAAATCTCCTTTATCACTCGTACGGTAGCGGACATTTCCTGAACGGCGAATTGTCATATCTGACGGGTGAAAGGCTTCCATGGGCCACAAGTTGATCTTTGATGAACCTAACAACAGTTGCAACTATGTCAAATCTGGCGACACCTATTCAATGTATGAGATAGAAACCTTCTTGACGGCCTGATTGGCTTAACTTGTAAGCATGACATAATCATAAAAATACTACGGTCTCATCATTTTAAAAGTTCGATACAAATTTATCTGTCAAGATGTCAAAGAAAGAATAATTATGTGTAGCAATCTAAGCTGCTATGCTTTAAGCGCAAATTGTTACCTTAGTCAAAAATGCTTTTGAAAATTCTAAGCCTGTTTGTCCGTTGCAAAGTCTGCGGTAACGTTTTCTTCTTAAAATACATTTGATTCGAACTGTCATAGCAGGTAAAGAGTAAGGTCCAGCATATTTTTGTACGAAAAAGAATTTCATAGTCCTAAATCCTGTAAATCTTGGCACTGTTGCACCCAGCGTATTTGTCTATTAACAATTTTACTGATTTGGCTGTACGACTGCGTGTACTCGTTTGGAAGCTTAATGATATTAACTTTTCAAATTTCGTCTGCTAACGAAATGTGCTAACATAACTGCAGTACTTTTCATACCCGCTCATTTTAAAATCAGCTTTCATCCTACTCGTTCCGTTCCAGGGATTGTTGGAATTTGACATGCCTAAATGTTAAGTTAAGTATAAATCGTTGAGGGATGAGAGTATCAAACAAAAGGGTATTGTGAAATACTGTCCAGTCGACACTTGGGCATAGATTTCGTTCTGTTTGTTGTTGTTGTTGTTGTTGTCTGTACACTTTAACCTTTACTGATATTAAAATATCTATAATGTACACTAAATATGCAAAGAATTATTTTACAGCAGATGAGGCAGCGCTTTATATTTGTAGTGGACGGCGTTCATAATACAAAGTGTGCGCCCAAATAACTGAATTGCTAAAAAACAGGTAAGAAACAGAAAAAGAAATATGACGAAAAATGTGATAACATTAAATAATCGGGTCTAAATGTTGGCCAACCAAAACAATTTGTAAATTCAACTTGTGTTCTAAATAAAAAGTTGAAAAACTAAAAAAAAAAAAATGACCCGATGACCACCTCCCCAGACAGGCTGCAGCACTGTTAAATGAAAATCCGGGATGTCGGGGGTAAAATGATACCAAGTAAGAACAAAAAACCGATGAATATGTGTACTTAGACATCTTGTGACATTTTTGACCGCGTGTTGTTCTGAAGTGTCTAGAATGTCCGGACAAATATGATGGCAGCTCCGCAGATTAGTTTCTATGGCAATTCAAGTAAATATGACAATACGAGCAAACGATAAGCAATTTAAAATGTTCTGACCTATATGCAAGCCTCTCCGTTGTACGAAGATTGCATAAAAACGAATTCGTGTTGTATTATACCGACAAACATCAACCGATACAACAACCTCAATACAAAACTATTTAAATCCTCAAGTAAAAAATATTTGATTCTTAATGACCATTAGGGTTACGCGACTCGCGTCAACACATGCAAGCACGACGGGCAAGCAAACACTTCACAATTAAGTCGAGGAGAAGGTTACTACTTAATTAGTTGACATTGTTGCAGGTGTTTAAAGCATTTTTATCAGCCGTTATCACTTTATATTGGATACTAACTAACCTGTACGCACAGAAAAACGGGAGCAAGTGACTATTTGTTTACGCTAACGTCTCTGGTCCATAGATCTGGTGAAGGCAAGGCGAAAAAAATATTTTTCCGCTGAAGATATATATATATATATATCATATGATGAAATAACGATTTGAGAGCTTTCAGAAAAATTAATAATATATATATATATATATATATATAGCAAATAAAAATTATTACATACTTCGCTGTATTGATGAATTGGGCAAAAATTAACTGTAACCTTCTGAAGTGACACGCAAATAGATTTCGCTAGTATATCTGCCATAAGATAAAAAACAGTGATTGATATCCGCAAGTCCACAGCAGAATCCACAGCAAGGGGTATCTCAAGTACGAGCGTCGAATTCAATATGCATATGTCTTGATATTGTCGATTTTTTAACCCGACCATTTTTTGCTATAGTCGATTTCTAAATAACTATGTTCTAACGCCTCAACTCCTAGTCAGGCTGTTGCAAGATGTTTGCGGCAATCAGAGTGGAAACTATGAACAAAACTATAAATAAAGTAATCATTTTTTTTCAACATTTTGTTGACTGTCTGAAAATTTATGGACATATAACATTTGAGAGCAAGTACAAGCTTGAATTACTGAAGTTTATAATTATCGTACTCTGAGAGATAAATAAAAGGTTTCCTGAACAAGCCAAGAAGTTCAACTTGCGACTAGTGTTTAAAAGCTCATACTTTTTAACGATATCCCGCCAATAACCGAGAATAGAAGAAATCGACCAGAAAAGCAAACCAACCTTTGAAAATTTACCGAAGACCTCAATTCCAATGAAAAAGCTAATGAAATTCTACGTGAGTATATTTTGGTTGTTCTGGTAAGCTCCACTTCCTGATACACCAAAACGCTACATTTGTTAATTAGTATATTAAACGGAAGCGTTGCTCAAGCAGCTAAAACCGCAACTGCTCTTGATATCGCTTCGAGATTCACTTACAAAACAGTTTTCGCTAAGAAAAAAATAATATAATAGGTAGAAAATAGTCAGATATCGACCCTCCTATGTATATAAGGTTTTCTAAAAAACATACTGTTTAACGGGTCACAACTTTTTTTTTTTTTTTCGCTCTTTTCAGGGTGTAATAAATTCAAAATAACGAGTGGATTAAGATTGCCTGTTGGACACAGATAATTTATTTTAAGATGCTACTGGAAGTATGAAAACTTAGCAGAAGTGCAAATATATTGCAGAGAACTGCATGCAGATCGGCCTGTGCGACTCAAAATTGGTCTGATAAAAGATCAATTTATCTATCCAAGGTATTCATAGACAGCGTTCCGCAAGACCAAGAACATCAATGAGCTTTACCAGCAAAGAAAGCGTACTAAAGTTATAGTGAAATATCCTATGAATGATCTGGAGGGCAATGAAGTCTTGAGCTTGGCATCAGTACATCGAGTGTTTATCGCATTTAAGATCCTAAAAAAATGACTTATTAATATTTAGAAAAATGTAAGCAGAAGGCGCAGTTTTTGGGGTTTATTACAGAATGTAATCATCTAAACACATAGGTTGGGCGAAGAGGTCGCGCCTTACCCGTTCTCCAGACCTGGTGCTAATTGGCTATTTCTGGCGGGAGAATCTTTACAGTATAAAGACAGGTCTAGGCGTATCAATATCGCTTCGTCGCGTTGCCAATATGTCCGTCTTCAATTAGGCGGGGTTTATAAATAAACGAGGCCAATCTTAGCTAGTTTATCATGAACACACGTATATATACTTTTTTCTCTCTTGAGAAAATCACTTTTTTTCTAGAGTAGATCAAAATAAGCTATGCCAGAGCGTCGCAATATTTTTCAGGGTACTAGTTTCGTGCTAGTCGTTAACATCTTATTGTGTTCCTAGTCACACGTTTCTGCAACCAATAGTGACGGCCGAGAGACAGTTGCAGACCTCGATATATATTCTATTAAAGATACGTTGCCGATTCTGGACCATTCATTATAGTGACGTCAACAAGTCGTCAACAGTTATCGCATCTTCAAAATTCCACTTTGAAATGATTTGTGGCAGGATGACTTTTCCATTATGTAGTAGCTTATGGTTGAATTGGCTCTACAACTAATTTTGGAGCGCCGTTGCTCCTATTGCTGCCTACACCTTCTTTAGTCGCAGGTTAGCGCCGGAAAAACCTCACTGTTTTCAAACTCCTACAAAATTTACAGTTTGACCTAACGATCTCCTGTTCCACAACCTAGGCAAAAATGGGGATAGCGTCTTCCCATGCAGCCATCTGCTAGAGCCTGTGAGTTCTCAGTTCTTCCACCGGTGGCGCTCCGTTCATCTGTTCCCCAACTTCTGTTGCTGAATGTTGAGTATAGTGGAGGTAGCAAACGCGGCGTCGGCGGGTGGCATGGTCGGTTTTTCTTCCCCATTGGATTTCTTCCTTCGTTGGTGGACCAGCAGCTACCCTTTCCTTCATCTCTGCCCAATAACACCCACCATCCCTATTTCAGTCTTCGCCAACACTCTCCCTGACCTCCTCCATGATGGTGGAAAGAGGAGAAAAGGAAGAGAGCATCAGAGTGGCTGAAAGCGCGCCAGTGAATGTTTCATGGTGTCGGCGGCGGCGGCGGCAGCGACAACTAGACCGAGGGTGAGCGGCGGTGATGGTTACTGCTTTGTTTCCGCCCCCGTCCCCCATCTTCTAGCGCCTCGCCTTTTTCCCATGTGTGTCAGATGGCCGGCGCCGACCAACCGACTGGCCCCCCGACAGGCAGACTTGAGCCGACGAAGACGAGAATGAAGCCGTGCCCTTACCGTCTGTCCGTTGGCTAACGGGACCATCGCCGCTGCAGCTCTTGCTGCGGCCGGTGGTATGGTCTTCACCCTCGCCTTCAGAACCGCTTCAACCGTCGAAAAGGTAGGAATGCTGTCAGCGCTCGCTTCGCACAAACACCGGCGTGCGGAGCAGCGAAGACGGGAACAGAACACCGAGTCGAAGCACTTCAGTCTGCCGCTTTTGCCTTCATGTGGCTCCCCCGTGCAGCATCGCGACCATATGGCCGAGCGCTGCAGCTGTTCGATGTCGCCTGAGGCCTGCTAGAAAACAGCGCAAGTTGGGCTGGTAAGCAGCGAAATTGTTATGCAATTACTATATGGTGCCGGATCGATTCTCTTGAATGGTGTTTGACTCAATACAGGATCTATCTGGTGATTGATAGTGATGTTAGGATTGAGTATTGTATTTTACAGTTGGTGAAACAGTGCTTCATTGAGGCATTTGGCCCGTAGTCTGTTGTACTAACGAGTACCAAGAAAAGTGGCATAGCGGATATAAGTACGGATTAAGAGTTCAGACGTTATTGTGATCAGTGGTGAAACGATATATAAGTCGATCGGCAGTGCGAACACAGTATGTGGCAGTGAGCTTTCGGTGTTGAAGGAAAGTCCTGGTGCAACAGCTACGGGCAAGTTGAGTGAGTTATGCAACTAAGTTTTTAAGTATCTGGATACTGCAAGACCGTTAAGTGCCAAACAAACTATTTCAGGATACAGTAGGGGTACAGCCGCTAGACCATACGTTCTTCAGATACAGCCAAGGTAAGTCCTGCCTTATTTGCTTTGTCTTTGAACTGTCAGATCTCGGATGCTTTAAATGAGTATTCGTAATGAGTATTAGAAATCTGTCATGAAATATTCGGTGAATTGTCATTATGTCATTCAGTTGAATAACGAAATGACAGCGTAGAAACTGCATAACGGCAGCCTTTTATGCCTATCGGATAGATACTTTATTCGATTTTAAATAAATGGGTTAATTTATTCTATGAGTAGCGGGAACAATTACTATATTTTCAAGTAAGGTGAATCTTAAGAATGTTAGTATTTCGTGAAAATGTTTACCAGAGACGCTAAATGTATTTCTCAGTCCATCTAAAAAGTTACGCAGCCCCTGTGCAGCGGTAAAGCCTCGCCGACTCCTCGGAAGCAAACATAATTGATTTAATACACACCTAATATTTAGTCACTACTGGTACGTACGATACAATCAATCAATATAGGAGCAACATACAATTGTCTCATATTAGATATCCCGCTATAGTTTGTTGAATCATACTCTGCTTAATTAATTAATCCCATCATGCTATAGGTAGGTGTGGCCTCATGTTCTAGATGCATCCTTATTGACGGCCGATCAAGGCTATCCCAAGTTTGAATTGCTCGTATTCTGTAGCCTTACTATGGTCATCCAATTACTCCGTTGCGATCACTCCTTACTTTTTGATACTATCCTTTTCTTTTATTGCTGCATTATAAATATCGAGATAATTATACACAGTGAGAATATTAGACTATATGGGAGAAACGGAAACTTCGTAGATAGGTGATGATAGTCGGCGAGTTGAACGATTTGCCAAGAAGACTTCTCTTTCACCATGAAATGTTTTAGACGTTTTTAACGAATTTGAAACGTACTTTTATTATTGCATCACCCCATGAGCTCAGAGCAGTTACCGAAAATATCACCGGGGGAAAAAGCGGTATATTTCACAATCAGTACGGCATTGCAGGGTACAAACTGCATAAAAAAATCAAATTATTCGCAAAGCGTCCCTATAGCTCTGCGATTGAGGCAGTCCTAAATTGATCATAATGCCGCATTTTTCCGTTTAGTCTTAAACCAAGAAGTGGACCGTATCCCACACTTACTACCGAACGGGTTTTTTTTGTAAGCGACGACCCTTCGATGATTGATGGCATTACGCATTCACTATGAGGAATTATGCAGAGGAAATAGAAGCCGAAAGGGATGACAACGACAAGTTACTCGAATAGCGACCCAGCGTGGGTCGAAAGCCTTGCAACATCCGAACGTCTTAACTGCTCGTGTCTCAAACATGTGCATGGTATACGAGTTACCCCAGAATTCAGCTCATTTGATAGGTCGGTATTTTCCTTAAGTATGTTTAGCTTAAGGGACTTTCTTCTTCACTGGTTAAACGTCTAACAAAGTCCTAATACGTATCTATGATGAAGGACTACTGAAGATGTATTCTTTACGCTATTTGGAAACTTTTATCAAGAAAGGGATAAGGTGACCGAAAAAGCATTTTTTTACCCATTATATTGACAGCTATACTGTAGGAATCAAAGAGCCCTTGATCGTTACCAGCGATTACGAGCGCCTCTCATTTAAGGGCAATAATACCATGCTTCGTTCAATAGAAAAGTTAGATCAATTATACTACTGGATCCTGTTTTCTTCCGATATTGTGCTAATATTAATTATAATTTAGCGTTCTTTGGAAGCTCAACTATGGGCTATGTCAGTGTTGCGTTTCTCTGACTGACTTTTCTTTTTCAATCAGTCCTTCGCCACGGCACGATGCCCAGCGCCGGTACGCCTGACGCCGTGCGCTCTTAGCGAGGCCTTTATTCTCGGAATCGATCTACCACTTTTCAATCGCCAAAGAAACACATCATTACAGGAAAAGGTCGAAACTAAAGAGGTAACACTAATAGATGGAAACGTGGAAATCTCTGTGATTGTCCGTGAAGATCACGCTGACGACGTGTCCAGTCATACCACAGTAGTAGCGATAAAAAAAAACCAACGGACCTATTTTTACGCTGTGCGTGTTGCTGTGCCCTCAACACGATGCTTGATGTCTTCGTTTTTTTTTTTCGCAGTAGAGTTATCTTTATCGCCATGTCTACCTCATACCAGGATTATTACTGTAACGTGTTCGCTCTTGTTTTCTCTGTTTCTTCTATTACTACTGGTTGCCGTTGTATTTTAATGGACGCAGTCAATATCAATTCTCAGCTGGTTTGTTAGTTTCAGAACAGTTAAGAGGAAAGCATTTGACGTACAAACTATGCCCCAGTTGGCAATCGTCGGCCACCAGATAACTAAGGTACGATAGAAAATTATAACAACGTGCATAGAGATAACGAAATAGTTAGGGCATTTCATTTATTGCATATGAAAAATACAATAGTGTAAGAATATGCAAAAATTCCACAAAGCTCAGCGTGTAATTGTTATCTAGTAATAAAAATGGGTAAAGGATCAATCATTTCATGAAAGAAAGCAGAATTTACGGTGATGAGCTATAACAACGATCAGTTTTAGAATATAACAGATTAGGAAATTAAAAAGTAATAAGGAGTGAAACGTTCATATAGGAACCTGTCGACATTTTCGCCACAGCGATAATATGCGCTTATCTGATAAGGATTTTGCTATATGAACGAATCCAGCGTCAAATGCCGATAATCTTGTTATCTACATTTAAACCGTTCACCCTTTACATATTCTATGTTCATTTAAATAATTTGTTACAGGATCTTGGGCAAATTAAGGTAAATAATAACGCCTCTGAGGCCAATGAATTCCATTGTATATGCTTCCAGAAATCGTGCGCAAAGGGATATTAGGACCATGCCAATAATTTGTTAAGTCGTTTAGGACAAAGCAGTTTTCCTGCTATCAGAATAATCACTGCATTGGTTAGGATTATTCAAGCTGGTACTATATTCATTTTTGTTAAAAGAGCTAGCCTAAGAGATGCGTTTTCATGACAAAAAACCCACAAAACTAGGTTTGCCTAATTAATCTTAACGAAACTTAGCTAGCATGCGAGTATCGATCTAGAAACAAAGCGCGGTTCAATACCTACGACGAGAACGTTGCTGATGATAAGGTTGATTTGCCTCGTTCAAGACTCTATATACATATATATACTTCATTAGTCCGAAGACTAATGTATATCGCTAATTATCTGATCGACGTAGTAATCGTGGTTTATAAAGAGATACTTAAAGTACATGAATGAACACTGCGGGATTCAAAACGACGTTTCGATCCTTAAAATAAGCAGTACTGTGGGACGCTCTTTTTTTTTTTTTTACAGAGACGAATTTATGTCAACTGTAGCCTTATTCAGGGTGACGCTTTAGTGTAAATGCACTACGATCCACGAGCATCAGCCTAGTGAATAGAATTGTTGAATACGCATGACAAGCTTCGCACTAGCTCGTGTAAAATCGTACTACAATATATAATAAATAGTTTTTTTCGTATAAAAAGCGGCGCGAAATGTTATTGCTTCTGCTGCCAGGCCTATAATGTAAAGCGAAACGCCACATACCGATAGAGCAACACACTAGTATCTGACAATAGTCGACAGCGTTGCTTCTAGATGGTTATCTAAATAAGATCCGAGGATCATTATGGCTACAAGATTTCACTTTGGAGTATTTCTTTTATTAGCAGACAATATTTATCTTGTTATTCTGTAAGGTATTAAATAGTTGGACGAAAATAGTACAGCGACTCTCAATCGAAATCTTCAGTGTTCCTATGTCCGTTCTTATAAGACTTATTTATAGGACTTTTTTATTTGTAGTCATAATGATGGCGTATTATTTACAGGCCAAACATTTACACCAGCCGTGGGGTTTTTAGTCGACTACACATATAGATGCCAGCTACTAACTTTAAGAGAAAGCAAGGAACGAAAGTACACCAAGAGTAGTGAAAAATAATCCTTATTTTTTTTTTTTTAATCTTTTTTCAAAAGAACATTGCGTCATGGTAGATCGTTACAAAGTATCATGATAGAAAGTATGCACCTGCCGACGGCAAGATGAATTAGTTTCAAAAGTAGAAAGAGAACGTATATTGCTCCAGATAGTAAATAAGAGCAAGCCATTAGGCCTGCTTATTACAAATTTAACTCCCCAAGGAATTGAGGATGAAGTTTGGCGTTTGCGGAAAACGATTGGAAGACTACGTTTTGCCTTTTGCATATGCTAAGAGGCTCCTTAACCATATTTATACAATTTAGGTAAGCCTTTTTTATTTTCTGCTACCTTAAACACAGCGCGCTTTCACACAAATAATGCTGTTTGTGGTCGCTAGTATAATTCTTTTATTTTATTATTATTTAAAGGTGGTGAAAACATTGGCTTACACTGAAATGAAGCTGAAAAATCAAAGATGAAATATTTTTGAGGCCACACTTATGTATGCATATATAAGCGATATGTATTTTTACGTGACAGTAACAGCTCGTATGGACTGATGTATACAAACTACCCACGCAAGTAACGACATGCGTAAAGTTTTGCCATGATCAACTGGATTGAATCCAAAGGCCGCGCTGACCTCGCTCCATGTCCGCCTCCAGTGGCTCATGCGGACCAAATAACATAAGAGCGGTTCAGAACGGCAGTAGCGAAGGCGGCTGTAGCGGTGCCACTAATGGTTCTCGCCACGTACGTTTTCGTTCGATAGAAAATAGGAAAAAAACGCACAGAAAACGTATAACGGACATTATTGAAAGTCTGTCTTACAGTTTTCGCAGAGCTCCCTTCTAATAAATCACTCACTACTTCGAAAGAACTTCAAACGTTTCTCTATAGATCATAATCATGTACTCTCCATTCCGGTGCACTGACGATTGCTATTATTATTATTATTATTAAACTATCGTGAATTGGGCCCTTTTTCTGATTTTCACATACTGCACATTATGGACATAAATTACTCTTAGCTTTGTCATCATTTTAAGACGAAGTAACATTGTATCCGC